CCTCTTTAACTAGACTTTTGCCGACAGTACTAGTTCTAGCTCAATACCCAAGCAATGCTTTCAACTGTCCAGTTTTACACGGCGATGTCATTGACAACTAGTTTTTAACCGGTTCCGTTTTGGACAGTTTTTTTATAAGAAAACGTTTTTAAGATTCGATTTTTGGATATTATTTTCGTTTTTTTCTTTTCTTTTACAGATTCCATGTTTGTTATATATTTTATAAAAAAAAATTATTGTAAGCGGCACGCAACAATTTAAATTCGTTAAATCTGAAACCTCATAACTGCCTTCACCGCGATTTGAACTCGTGACCAACGATGCTTGAGTCGGGGGTCTTCTTGCTAAGCTACTTTCATATTGTACGAGAAGTGAGAATTTGTCCACTCCCAGTATGGAAAGAAACTAGTTTAAATATCGATGCTGAACCAGTTTTTTGCCCACCACAACTAGTTGAAGATAATAATAAGTAATAATAATCCCAACGGTTTTTGCCCTCGATTCCCGCACATCCACACGAGGGGCGCAGTTCGCATGACGTACGGAACCAATATTTTAAATTTTTGCGCCGAGTCACGATAGGCAGGAGTTTGTTAAGTGTTCAGCTACAGAACTAAATTCATCAGCTGATTTTATGTCTTTATGTTAATAATTCATTTATTGAGAGAAGATAGTATCGCTTTCTTTATGCTGAAAAGCGAATCAGATATATCAAATGTGCTGGAATCAAAGTTAAAATCCTGGAATAAGCAACGGAGTGGCTCGTGTAATCCAAAAATAGTTTTACAAGCTTTCAAAAATAGGGGATAAAAGTGTCTTGATACACGGGAGGGAACATTAAGGCTAACTTCACACAGAAGAAGCGGACTTGAAATTGACCCTGTCAGTAATTTAACCATAAAAATTGTACCAAGCATTTCCCTGCGACTGACAAGTGTAGGAAGATTAATAAGATTTAGTCGGCTCTTATAAGGCGGAAGGTTATATTGAGAATCCCAACGGAAATTTCTTAAAGCAAAAAGTAGGAATTGTTTTTGAATTGATTCTATCTTGTCTGAGTAAATTTCATACCTTGGATTCCAAACCACCAAACCGTATTCCAGAATCGGTCTAACTATTGTTGTAAACAGGGTTTTAGTGATATAAGGGCCACTAAATTCGTTTGACCATCGTTTCACAAATGCAAGTACACCTTTAGCCTTGTCGACTGTCACATTAATGTGAAGATTAAAATTAAGTTTGGGATCCATTGCGATACCAAGGTCCACAAAATTGTATACCTGTTCCAAATTATGGTTATCTATTGTATAAGAAAGGCTGAACAGCTCTTCGCGAGAAGCACATTACTCTACATTTTTACAGATTTAGAGGCATACGATTTACATAGCACCAGCCATGCTGTTTAAGTCTGCTTGTAGCAAATGGTTTTCTTTGATTGAAAAGTACGATTTATAAAGTTTCACATCATCTGCGGACATTAAAATGTTTGAAAATTGTTTATAAAAAGCAAGAACAGAATCGGGCCTAGGTGGCTACCTTGCGGGACTCCTGAACTAAGATCAATGACGTCAGAAATAGTATTTTTAAACATAACCCATTGTGATCTATCATAGAGGTATGAAGAGATCCAACGTAGAAAATTAGAAGATCAAGTTTATAGATGAGCAACGAGTGACATATTTTGTCATATGCTTTACTGAAGTCGGTATATATAACATCCACATTTCTGTTTTCACTAAACGCTTTTGAGATATAGGTTGTGAACTCAAATAAATTTGTTGAAGTTAAGCCTTTGCAAAACCCGTGTTGATAGTATGAAATGGTAGCGGAGATAGAATTCGTCAACAGATTTGAAATAATTGCTTCGAATAATTTAGGAATTGCAGAAAGCTTAGCTATGCCCCGATAGTTCTCCACCGAGGACCTGCCACCGCTTTTATGTATCGGGGTTATGAATGATTCCTTCCATACAGTTGGAAGGATGCCTTCTTTAAGAGACAAATTAAATAAGGCTGTTAACGGCTCATAGAGATAATTAGCACAATTTATAAGAAAAGAAGTGGGGATCTGGTTAGAACCATAACTAAAAGACTGCTTTAAAGACTTCAGGTAAACTAATACATCATCGGGAGATATTATTGGGGTATGTATTGAGTTAATTAGACTTAGTTTTAAAGGATAGTCAAATTATGCTTGGGAGTTAATGGAGTAATTGGATTTAAAAAACTGAGCGAA